AATGGTTAGCTTATAGGAGAACTTCTTCTTATCGCCCTTTTTGACGGGACAGGGCGTGTCTTTGCAACCATCTCGGTCAAAGCCCGGGATCAAAGTAGCTAGGTCCAAGTCCAAACCTCCTACAATGGCGTGCAGAGACCACTCGGCTTTAGCGCTGTCGGCATCTATTTAACATGGTCAGTTGTAATTAGTATATAAATGCAATTTAAATTATTTAGCTAAATTTAATTGTTCTACTATTAGTTTGTCAACACTTACTGGCGGTGTACTCAATATCGATGGTAACCTCCTTTCCCTTGTGGAGAGTGCAGGGACTGGTTGTGCAGCCACTGATGGCAACGTTGGTTACCTCAGAGTGTCCTAAGGTATACACATTAAGGTTAGTTATTGTAATAAAATGAACATGTTATTTATTAAATATACCGCAATCCTTGAATGGGATGCCGGCTGAAGCAGCGACGATCAAAACGGCTAAACACACAAACTTTAACATGGTTATTTTTACTAAAATTATTTCTAATTTTACTTAAAATAATATTTTTAAAGTGATTTTCAATATTAATTGCAGCGATATTTATACAATATAAACTATGTGAATTGTGCCATATGTTAATTAAATTTATCATAGGATCTAGATACAATCTAGGATATACCTAATTGCTATCTCATATAATTCTAGCATTTATTTTAAGATTAGATTTTAAAATTGTTGATATTGACCTAAAATAGGATATAACTTATATCCTTATATCCTATTTTAAGTCAATATCAATTATAAATTTAACCATATTGTTAACATCACACATTTATTTCATAACACTCACTGTCCCATCAAAATGGTCGAGATGAAATACTTCTCATACAACCTGACTATTCCGATGGTCAGCCCTACACTCGACGCTGATGTTAAGCTCAGACTTACTGGTGATAAGGGAGACCTGTTCTGTACAATCTTTTACGGATACATTAAAGATTAGATTATTTAATTTATTTGTTTGAAAAATATAATTATTTATGTTTTCCAAATATTAAAACAAAATAAAATAAATTCTAGCCAATTTCATATTTTATTTTGCAAATATTATTAATTTATTAACAAATTAAAAAATCTACTAAATTCTAAGTATAAAAACTGTAAAGTTTTACTTGATATTTTTAAAAATTATATATGGATCTTGTTATAAATAAATAATTGGTTGGTCGGCAAATTATCTATTATTAACGCACAGCGACCCAGGGGGAAAATGCATCCCCCTCCATTAAATTGAGGGATGTGGCAAAACATTTATTCCACCTATTGAGTCGATGGTAATTTTGACTCACCTTGGTAATTTGACTTTTAATCAATCAAGACATTGTAAAATTATTGATCAGCCAATACTCATCAGTAATATAAAAAATAATTGTAATATTAATTTCAATTAGCCCACATGTTACATGTAGGCCAATTAGACGTGGGTTAACACATAAAACAGTATGTCTTACATTTTCTATCCTGCATGGGTTTAAAAACTGTCATTTTAATAACTTTTTATATTGTAAATAGATTAAATTTATTTTCTACATATAATCTGGGGATACGCATAAAAAGCCAGTTTAATGTTTACTTTTTTATAATTGTATAATAGTTATAATTCATCTTTAATTACTATATTTATAATTACATAATCTAAAATCCAATATAATTTAATCTAAAATTTATTTGTATAAAAATATTTATTTTAAATCTCATGATTTAAGTTATCAATGTAAAATTATAAATATGGGTTTAATTACTAATGATTTCAAATAAAATAATTGTTAGATATTGATTAGAATATCCTTGTTATTATATAGTTGTACTAAAAATCATTAAACACATGGTATAATACACGTAATTATTTCTATAAATACAAGAACAATTAGTATAGGAAATAAATTTAAAAATTTATATTTAAAAAACAATAAAAATAATTTAAGTAAAAATAACAATGTTTACGATTGTGTGTTTTGGCATGTTCATTATCGCTGTCTCAGCCTGGATGCCTCCCACGGATTGTGGTAAGTTTAATATAGTATTATAAAATGCTTTTACTACTATAATAAACTTGGTTTTTAATTTCATAGGACACTCTGAGGTAACCAACGTTGAAATCACTGGTTGCACAGCCAGTCCCTGCATTTTTCATAAGGGAAAGGAGGTTACAATCGATATTGACTACACCGCTAGTAAGGGCTGCCAAAAATTAAACACAGCATATTTAATTTAGCCTAACTTATTTTTAGTTATAATTTAGTTAGTTAGTATAATTAAAATTCATTCTGTTAAATAGACCAAAATAGCACAAAGTCAGAGTTTAGCTTGCACGTCATTATTGGTGGTCTAGATCTTGACCTTGGCCCTTTGATCCCTGGCTTTGACTCCGATGGTTGTCATGACACTCACTGTCCCATCAAAGTGGGTGAGAAGAAACATTTCACATATAAGCTAATGTTTCCCGGGGCGACCCCTACCGACAATTTTAAATTTAGGTTCAAACTAATCGGTGATAAGGGAGACCTGTTCTGCACATCAGTTTACGGAGTCGCTAAGGATTAAATTAAATGGATTGCAGTGTAGATAGTTTCCGATCTTATAATCGTTTTAATCAAATTAACAGCAATTGTTTAAAAACTGTCATTTTTATAATGTTTTGTATTGTATATAGGCTAATTTTGGTTTCTATATATTATCGGCTGGCAAAAATATGTCCAATTTTCGATTTTTACATGGTATTATTTTCTTGCAAAAATATGCTAAGATTGCTTTAAAAATATACACCAAACTTTATTTTAAATTATTTGATAAGTTTATTTTTACAAACAAAATCATCATCAATGCCTAAATAAAATTTTATTTCTAAATGATGAATTTGTAAATTTTTGATTACAATAATAACATTAAAATAAACAAAAATATGTAATTAAAAATATTTGTTTAAAATTTCATTAAATTATTAAACCTAGATCGAATGAGAGGAATACCGCGATATATCTTATATTTATTTAGTTCGCCAACCAATGATATCAGGGAAACACACGACCCATACATTAC